CGCCATACTGTGCCACACATTACTAAGTAGTTTTTAGTTAATAACTCGGGCTAATAATTATTAACTATTATTAATTATTAATAATGCGGGAGGTCCCATCACTACATTAATGCGAATATTACTGAAGAAATATTTGAGAAGGCGCCAATTCAATTCTTAATGTTTATATTATGTTCAAATATCATTCTAGCATTGTCGCTATGATTAGGTTGCAATTTTGATTAGTGATAATTTCAAATTTCTTTTTTATTTATTTATATTTGTCAATAGAAAACAATCAAAAATTTTATAAAGAACAACAATGTACTTTTGTCACTAAAAATATACATATTAAATAGTTGAATTAATAAATATGCGAATCTATTATAATCGCATACTTTCTTAGCATTAATGCCGGCCAACCTATTTCTTAATGCCGGCTAGCTTTATTATTAACTTACAATAACTTACACAAGGTAATGTAACTTACAATATAAGTTACATTGTAAGTTACGTTGTCAGGTAAGTTATAACAACCCTAGTCAAATCCAAATCTGAATCCATTAACGAATAAAATTTTATTTAAAAATAGTAGAGAAAAAAAAATAAAAAAAAAAATTACATTTTGGGATTATTAAGAAAAAAAATTACGTTTAGGCTTTTAAAACTTGCGATTTATGACATACATACATCTTTTATTATACATACCTGATACATACATGTTTTTATTACGTATCATACATACATACATGTTTTTACATTACATCGATTTAATAGCTAATTAGTATTGTATCACCCACACGTTTCTTGTACAGTGTATCCATACACAGCGTAATTCTAAAACATCACATCGGAGTGTGATGCTAATAATCAACATTCGTGCCCGTGTGATGGTTTTACCTACAGTGACTATTACGTAAATGGTACATCAGATAAACGGTATTATGCACTTGGACCAATAGAAACTCATTACGCTCAACCTTTGATAAGAAAAAAAACTTTAAAACGTAATGAATTCGTAAAGTTTTTTTGTAAAATTATTATCAATGGCAATACATCGTAATATGACAACAAAGGGTGGTTATCACCTTAAGCATAAACTAAAAGACTTGAAAAAAAGAAAAAATCAAGAAAATCAACGGAACGATATACAACAAACGAAAAAGGATTGGGAAATTCCAAGAAAACTTTTACACACTTCCATAGGTAGGTAACAACCGTTTATGACTTAAACTACAGAACAAAATTACGGTAGAATTGCAAGTGTAAAGTCAGTGTTTGACGGGTGTATAAAAGGTATAAATTCAAAATTAGAATTCTCGAATATTAAAAATATATGTTTGTATACTCGGGTTTAATTTTTAATTTATTTTTTTTTTTTTTAGCAAACTAGAATTGATTTTTTTTTTTTTTTATGTGGGTTATTAATAACTCAGAAACCCTGTAATAAATCTAAATCATATTATACCAACTTTCAATTTATCAGGATTCCTTGTCTTATACATCTACCCATTCTCAGAACCTGTTCCAACTCGTAACATACTGCTTATTACGTTTGTAATAGTATCAATTGCTGATGCATTACGATTCAATAGTAACACATTTAATAACCTTTATATCAAAGTATTGGGATTTTTGATGCGAGAATCTGAAAAATATGACAAAATAAATGGAGTAGTATATTATCTTGCAGGATGTATCGGCGCGTTGTCATTATTTCCGAAGGTAGTTATATAATTAATTATAAAAAGATCATGGGAAAATTTTTGTTTTCGTAAGGATGATCTATGGATCGTTTTTTATTTTATTTTATGGGACAGTCACGTGTAATCACATTATATGCAAAATTTATTAATTAATATATAATTTATCAGGACATTGCAGCACTATCAATACTCATACTATCATGGTGTGACACTGCCGCATCGTTCATCGGTAGAAAATATGGACATTATACCTATAGATTCAGTAACGGTAAATCTTTGGCGGGTACACTCGGAGCCATTACAGTTGGGTCAATGGCAGCATTATTATTTTGGGGAGGGGGATTACGATTTCATAAAATCGAGGTTGAAAATTGGATACCAGATAAAAGTATATTATCATTACCAGCACTATGTTTGTTAACGGGAATAATTAGTGGGGTTAGTGAATTAATAAATTTGGGAGGATTAGATGATAATCTTGTAATTCCTTTGGCATCAGGATCTTTATTATGGGTGACATTAGTTGGGTTAGGACTAGGAGGGTCAGGTTACTGAATTCACATTAATTGAATTTACAGATGGGATTTTGATATAATATTACTGTTACATAATCTTTGACATTTAGTAAAATAGAAAAAATGTAAAATTTGGTTTCCTTTCATTCATTTATTTATTATTTAAAATAATTGCAACATGAATACATGAATGCAATTTTATTAATTATTTATCATTAAAAAATGCGAACTACCGCGATGAACTTTTCCGCAAACGTAAAAGCGATAACAAAGATACCGTTTTCATAAATAAAATAAAGCGGTCAAATACAAAGGTTCGGCTCAGGTCGGTCCATATTTAATGAATTTTATTTGTAATACATGGATCAAGTATAATAAAAGTTATAACAGGATTCAATGTTTAATGTTTAGACATGAGATAGGCTTTTTTCGTAAAACTTAATGTCTATGATTTTGCCTATTTCGTCGAGAACTTGTTATGTAAGTAAACATATAAACGTCAATAAGAGATAATAATAATTCATCAGTCATTGTATGCAAATATCCTGTATACACTCAAAAGATCAATATTAAAATGAAAATAACGATTGTAAATAAAAAAAAAAAAAAAAAGAAGTACTAATAAATCCAGGCATATCAAGTAAAAATTAACAACTGGCAAAAATAACGGCCAGCTTTATAAACATAAAATATATTGTACGTATAGTAATACCCTTCTTAAATTTAAAAGATATGCTAATATATTAGATTATTACCATACATGTTTAGGAATAACACGATTCGTGTACATACATACGTAAGTACGTAACTAAACATGAATGAAAAAAAAATCCTAAATACAAAAATTTTTTTTTTTCTT